CTCACCTTTACTAATGACCTGGATGACAAGAATGACTGCTTAGTCAAGCAAACGCCACCATGACATGACCATGAAGTTTGATAAAAGGCATCGCTTTTATGGTGGGGGCAACTTCACTACTTTGTCGTGATTAGGATCAACTACTGTGGTGCTCACAAGCCTCCCAAACCTCATGAATGTGGACCCTACAATTCCCTTAATTATGATATGATGCTAATTAGCAAAACCAATTTGTACTAAACCAGATTAAAGAAACTGGATAAAGAAACCCTAGAATTGATGGTAGTTAAACCTGATCGATTAATAATGGACTAGGGAAGAAGGACCCTCCACAAAAGCATGTCAATGTGATCATAATAATGTAGGTAAAAGGAATTATTGATGTTCTCATTGACTGTCTCCCCATGTGGATGTTTTCTTTAGAGCAAAAGCTTTTGGCTCAGTCCACTCGAATGAATAATTGGGATTTTTGTTAACGAGAATTCTCGAAATATCTGCCAAGCAACTAAATAAGGAAACTTTTCAATTTTCAATACACAGACTATTTTGGGTCATGCATAATCGTGCTTTGAAAAGTGAATTATTATGTATTTAGTGTGATTAATAAGTATCTCGGAAATACTCGTTAACATGACCAATATAATTATTCTCTTTTTGGGGGCAATGTTAAAGAAGCTTTTGGGGGTCATCAGAGTTGTTAGACTTTGCGTACATCGGTCATTTCAAATGGGGTCCTAGGCAAATAGATTTCTTTTGCTTTTTCACATGATTTAGGCAGATAGAATTAGAAGACCGTGCTTGGTGTTCTCGCTCTTCTCCCATGAAATGAGGGACGGCACTTTTCTCTTTCTGTCGGAATAGACAGTTGAACAATCTCCTCGAAGGAACTTCTCCTCACTCTAAAGTTTTATTATATGTACTTTCATAGCTATAGTAGTGTTTGGATAGTGAAATTATGGCATCATGTACTAGTTTCTAGCGGTTTCAATTCGTTGTCTACAGTAAGGCCCCCCCTCCTCCATTAAAAACGCCGCGTACGCTTACAGCTGAAGTTGCGAAAGCAGGGTCTATCTTGTACCCCGAGAAGACAGCAAGAAAAGGAACGGCATAAGTATCGACTAGATAAGTTCATAGCGAAGGAATTTAGCAATGTAAGGGGTCGATATTGCAGACAGGCGGATCTGGCGGTCGACATTATTTAGACTTGGCAAAGGTTGTCGTAGCACCTGGTTTTAGTAAAACAAGTTTTCCCGCTTAACCATTCGCGTCAGTAAAAAAAATTGACAGAAATGTTAGATTATTATAGTATTTTATATTTTATTATATTTTATTTTGAAAGGATAGACATAAAAATTGTCTATGTATCATAGTGAGTTTTGTTTTCTCTTGGTCTTCTACAATTACAAAAAATGTATAAGAAGTGCTCCTTAAATATAAGTTGACATTCTTGACCTATATGTATCCATACAAGTTAGCATCTTTTTGATCCTCGAGGTAAAAAACGAGATGCCCACTAGTTCTAATCAATCGGCTTTTGTCTTTGGGCCGATTAGTGGGTGGGGGTTTATATTACAGGCCCATTCTTCTCCTTATAATGCTTAGAGGAGCAATTCAACATATAAAAAAGTTTTCAATTAATTGCTCAAAAAAAATAATAAGATAAACGAGTGGATTCTTTTTTTATAATCTAAGGGCACGAACGTGGAGACCTGACTACTTGGAAGCTCGGGAAATGCACTGCAAGCCCTACGAACCAGTTAAACTTGAACTTTGACTTGTCGCGTGGTCCTAATCCCAGTAGTTTTTACGCAGTTAGTGAAATTCAAATGCATGACCTCCAATTTTCGCCCGGCCAGCTATTTGCTATTGTTTAGAGGAGAAACGGAGTTTAACCTAAGAAATGGGCATATGTGACTCGTTTTCGCCAATGGGGAAGACACTAGTATTTACCTCCGTTCTCCATCAAAACTACTTTGATTTAGATGCATAAGTGATCATTTTCCTTGGTCAATTTTTGTCATCTTATTTTATGAAAATACCCTTCTTCTAATTTCTCATCTTATTTTGTGGCATTGGAGTGTATATAATTTACTAAGAGATGATCTTATTAAGACTCTTTGTAAAATAGTTTCCAGGAGGATAATTAAAAAATGACACGTGGCGATTTTCAAAACGACATACTGCCAATGTCGCCTATACGAAACTTAACCGGCGGAAATTCAACGCGCAATCTCGGCATTCAATGCGCATTCCCGAATGATCTCGTCGTTTTAAGTATCTATTATTCACCCGGAAATCATAATTTCAGAGGGAATTTTCGTTCCGTTAAAAGCGAAATATATGTAAAAAAAGAAAAAAATACTAATCCAAGTCTAGTGTAAAAAAAAGGCCTAACTAAAAAAAGGTGATGACCTAATTAAAGACAATCTGAAGAGGAAAGAGAGAGAGAGAAACGGAGGGTCCTCCGTCCAAGCTCCGAACGTCAAGGGCGGACGTGAGAAATCGCCGCCCCAACGGGCGGTGGAGAGAGCATCAATCCCACGCCACTCACATCCGCTTCTCTCTCTCTCTATCTCTAGCTCTAGCTCTGCAAATTCAAAGCCCGAAGCTCTTCCCCCACTTCCCGTATCAAAAGACGAAAGTGGAAGCGTGACCTGATTCTTGTAGAGAGTGAGATTTGAGCGAGAGCGCGCGCACGCACGTACACACACACCATGTCGTGGCAAACCTACGTCGACGATCACCTCATGTGCGACATCGACGGCCAGGGCCAGCACCTCTCCGCCGCCGCCATCGTCGGCCTCGACGGCAGCGTCTGGGCTCAGAGCTCCACTTTCCCCCAGGTCTGTCTCTCTGCATGCATGGCTCATGCTTTTGTGTGCTTGTGTTTAACTGAAGCGTTTCGATCGGATCGGATCGGATCTCTCGCAGCTTTTTTCCGGTGGCTTTTTTGAAATTTCTCCTGTCTTCCATCCCGGGGGACTGATCTGATCACCTCGCGAGCCGGTCGCTCTATCGACGTTCGTGCAGATGAATAAACGATATGCATTGGCCGCGATCAGATCAATCTGCGTCGACTCGTTCTAAACGTTACGAACATGTTGTGTCTGCGTCAACTTTTTGATAACGAAAAAACCGAAATGAGATTGCTGCCTTGCTTTCCAGCAGAGCTAGCGTGAGGAGCTCGTGTGAACTGCTAATTGCTTGAAATGATGATGTAGAATCACGCAATATGAGAAAGATAGAATTTTTTGGCATGCTCTGACTTAATTAAACTGTCTCTCTTAGCTGCTCTAAGTATTTCTGGCATTTTGTTTCCCCTTCCAGTTCAAGGCTCCAGAGATTGCTGGCATTCTGAAAGATTTCGAGGAACCGGGTCATCTCGCCCCGACAGGTTTGCATCTTGGCGGCACCAAGTACATGGTTATTCAGGGGGAGCCCGGCGTCGTCATTCGCGGGAAGAAGGTGAAGTAAAATTTGTTCATCGTATCACATCTTCGATCTTTTTCCCTTTTCCGAAGAGCGAGTGACACTGTAGAAGGCTAACTTGATCGAGAGAGCTCGGATTTGAATATCAATAAATGGGTCAGTTGATTTAACCTTCATTTGTCAAGACAAAGACTTCCTAGGATCTTGCACTGCTTTTTCTTGGGTGCTCCAGAGGATTTCTCGAGCCTCCTTTAGGTGTCTGTCAAGCCTTCACGAGGCCATTCCTTCCTCCAGTTGTTTAGTGAAGTTAAGGATAAAGAATATCAAAACTGCGTTATTGGGCTAGCTGTCCTGTGGGGCTGTTCATATGGATCAGAAGGGTGAATTTGTTCCTGCAGCACACCCCAGACCTTTTATTTTCTTCTCACGGTGGTCCATGTTTTTCCAGTCCTGTTAGCTGTTTCCAAGGGTTGGAATGGCTTTCTCATATCTATTATGTTACTCAAGGGCGCTCTAATGCAACAGGGATCTGGAGGCATTACAATCAAGAAAACCGGGCAAGCTCTAGTTTTCGGGGTCTACGAGGAACCTGTGACTCCAGGACAGTGCAACATGATCGTCGAGAGGCTCGGAGATTACCTGATCGATCAGGGCCTGTAGGCCTCTGCTCAACTCCATCCATCCGGTATCCCGGTCCGCGGTCTAGCTTTTTGGCTCATCTTCTGCATCTGAGTTTGCGCATCCTGGATCAACAAGTTGCGCGAAATGACCGTGTGGCCGTAAGGTATTTCGTTCCCCGGGTGTTCTTGGCTTGTTTCCCTTGATTTTCACATACGACACTTCATATATTGTATCAACCTTTTCCTCTTTGGGGTTTACGGTGCTGGCAATAGATTTTCAAGTTTTGACTGCGTTTGATATTCATGTTTGTCGATGAGAGCAATGTTGATGCATTGACATGTTGATGCATAATAACTTCTCGTCCTAGACTCCCAACAAACGGAAGCAATTGCAAAGACATGAAAACATGATCATGTTCGTTCCGATTTCTGTCTACCGTTCGAATTCTTTTGTACAAGCCGGCACAAACTTTCAGCAAAATGTAATTCAAATCAATTACTCTAGTAACAATCAGCCCGTCAGAATTCAGATGCAAGAGCTTCATCCTGATAATTGTCAATCATAAATTATTTTCCTCCCCACTGCAACTCAGTGCCATTTTAAGTATAAGTCCTTACAGCCCTTTCTCGTTTTCTATAATGATTCTGCCATCCTTTTCAGCTATTCAATTCATCATATCCTAATTATCATGTACTTCATTTTTCCCATTGAGAGCACATTGGGGATGCTTCATTAAGTCAAGTCATTCAAGAAGACCAACGTTTGGATCAGCTAACGATCGAAGAAATCAGCAAAACATAGAATTTCAAACCGGGGCAGGGTGTGTAGAACGGTCTTATCCGAACACAAATCATCCGATAACCAAAAATGATCCAACGACAAACTGCTGTTTACCTCTTGAGAGCCTCGACATAAGACAGTACATCGACCACCTCAGTTAATCCAAGACATAAAGACAAAATCCTCCAAACCTTTTGAGATTTCACATTTTGCCACTAGCTTCAGTTAAATCCAAGACATAGGCAAAATCCTTTACACCTTTTTGAGTTTTCACATTTTGCGACTAGCATCACTTGCATGAGTTCGCTACCGCAGCCCCTTTCACTTTTACAATTACGTAGGACTACTAGATGGTCCACCAAAATCCTTACAAAGAAGAACCAGCTTGGGCCATTTGTACACATAAATTTTCCATGAAGACGCATTTCCTCTATTGACATGGTAATGCAAAACTAGGGGCCCAAATTGCACTCAACAGAGTCATTTGGACAGATGAACAAAAATGGTAATTCTTTTTCCCCCACAGATACATCCATATAAAGTGGAAAGACTTCCACATTCTAGTCACAGCCTCTTTGAGGAGTTCCCCATGATTCTTTAGACGTTGCCGATGATCAAAATAAATAACAGGAAAAATGTCATAATAGTGTGGCTTAATGCCGAGATATGGACTTCACCTGCCTGGGAGGAAGAATGTGAAGAAATGGCCGTAGCATTGCTTGTAGCGGTTTTGTTGCTCCTGCATTGAGTTTACAAAGGACAAGGAAATCAAGCATTAGTGCAAGGATTATCAAGCTTAAAATGTTAGGGAGTTGAAATTGCAAATGGATATTTACCCGGCAGTCACATAAATGCACTTGTCATAACCTGATACACAACAAACAACCAAAAGCTCCAATTAGCATTGCCCGAAACTCAGTTAGATATTAAGAGAAAACATTTGAAAGTAGAAGCTAAGTTGCGCTAGCATCCTAAATCAGGTATGATCATCATCCAGAGAAAACTAACATACATGTTAGGAGGAAAAATGATAACTTCTCCTAAATCAAGTTTGAAACATGGAAGTTCCACAACTTGTTACGTTAAACGTTTGTGTTATTATCCCTGAACCAACGCCTCTTCGACCAACTCAAATTACAAAGAGGTCACTTAAATTCCAGCATAGATGAAACATAAAGAAGTGGGAATAGAGATTATGCTTTAACGGGTGACAAAGAAGAGATATACTTGGGTTCTTGTCGACTTTTAATCCTGCCCCTCCAAAGCTACAAGCAACATCTGTAGCGCCATTTTGCTGGTAGTAACTGTTGAAGGCGAAAGAAGCATGAGAAACCAAGGTGTCAGGCTCATAACACGGTTGGCTGGGTTGAATTGCAGAACAGTCCACATTTCCTGGTCCACAGGCCCAGTTTATGGCATTCTGCAAGTCCATATCCGATGCATTAGACGAAGCGATGCACCACGTTGTTCTGTTAGAGCTGGTAATATTAGCTCCGGTTATCACATTTACGGAGCCTCTTCCAGTGAAGTCCAAATTGTACACACTTGTCTCATCAGGATAAAATAGCCCCCAGTTTCTCTCAGATTCCAAACCAGGCTTCCTGTTTTCATTGAAAAGCGAGAAGATATACACATCCAACGCTTCACCGGGCTTCGCAGGAGTTCCCGTGTCATTAATCACATGACGGATCAAGTTTGTATTGTAAGTCTGAGCATTATCTGGAGTTGCAGCAGTTTCTTTAGCAGAACCTTTAGATGGCCATCCTGTTTCAGTGACCATGATTTTTATCGTCCGGAAGTTCAAAGCCATGAGGGCAAAGTAAAGAGCGTCAACCTGGGCATCGAACATGTTAGTATAGAGCAACCCGGTGTTTGGATCAATCACTTCCGAGGACGACTCGAACAGGGCATAGTCTAGAGAGACATTGTTTGGCGAATCTCGATAGGCATAGTACGGATAGATATCGATCATGAAAGGAGATTGATTCTCAGCAAGAAATATCAGAAGGGGTTTCAAGAAAGATGCATAGTTACTACTAAAAGCACCTGCTGAGGGCGGAAAGGATCTCGATAGAACTCCAAGGGAATGGGTCGTGGAGACTTTGATTCTTTTGTGTAGACCGACTTTTCTCAAGGCTGTAAAGATGTATTGCATCGCCGGTACCACAAGGGCAGTGACATTGCTGGAAGTTTCTGTTGCCTCCGCACCGACAGTAATGTACGTGATCTTCGTGGCAGGATAATATGGGAGGATGCTGTTCTTCAGCCAAGTGTCGGCATTTGATTGGAACTGAGAGAACGGCAATAGGTCTAAGTTTGGAATACCAATGATGAGCTCAACTCCTGTGTTTGCAAAGGCCTTGAGAACCTGAATATTAGAGTCGTAAATCCTGAGGTACTTGATGTTATGAAGCTGAACCAATTGCGCCACTTTGTCGGGTGTCGGGAGGTCATCCGCATTTCTACCATAGCAAATTCCGATAGTGCTTCCTCTGCACAGGTCTGCCACGAGGAAAAAGGGCCCAAATTACTCGCTCAAATGAAGTGTCGGGAATTGGCCAAAAGAGAATTAAGTGTTATAAACATCTGGTGATGGTCACACGTGTCGAGCACTATAAATTTGACAAGGTATGGAGATGATGTTTGGGTATACTTGAGAAATGGTTGATCTACTTGGACCAATCATTATACCATAAGAACTTCGATGGAAATCAACTCAACTCTATCTAATGCATAGTAGAGAATCCGCTACTGACTAATCATTAGCTTAAATAAATGGGGCAACCAATTAGCTAACATGAGGGTGGCGAGATAAGTATAATACAATACTTTCTCTGCACCCTCTTTGGCACTTCTATTACAGAAAAACATTCCATACACTATATACTGCAAGACTCATATTTCAGCATCCCTCTCAAATAGAAAAGCTTGAGGCTTTGTTTTTGGAGAAATGCTAGGTACACAAAGATAGGTTTAAAAAAATCGTTATACTAGATGATGAGGCAAATCACTAGTGCTTGTTGAATATAATAAACTCCTTCAAATGCCCACTTCCAGTCTGTCACTTACTTAATATACCAATTTTCTTGTCCTAGTATACCTGGCATTGCTCTTATTCTAGGGGTTGGCGGTTCAGACAAATATTTAGACCACTTTGTCCATCACATTACCAATCAGTGCCTTGCCAAAAGTATTCCTCACTGCCTTCCATGTTTGTAAATCCCTAGTTTCTCCCAAAACACAGTGTGCACATGAGTAGACAAGATCCAGTAATCTGCAGATGCTACTAAATAATTTTTTCCCCTTTCTTCCACAAAATTTGCCCATGCCTTTCACAGTCAAGATATGCGCTTAGCCTATAAGCCTGCGCCTTTCTCTCTCTCAGAGGGAGGTAGGTTGGTCCACATGAGATTCTATGCAATCTATGAGGTGGGTCAGCTAAGTTAATAATTGAACTTCCAGCTGTACGCAAGAATGAGAGTCTGCCTCCTTACCATAAACATGAATGCAGAGCATAGCGTCAACACTGATTAGAGCAAGTGATCGAGGGCAAGAGAAGAGATCAAGTTAATGTCCCAGAGCACACGTCACGATGAAGTGTGACGAAACCAAGCCATCATTTTGAATGGTGAGAGAGACAGTGCACGCATTGCACGTCCCCAAACACAAAATGTATCAAGACGAGGGAAAAAAAAAATGCAAACTTGAGCGACTTCAAGAGCTGAATGCAGACAAGCTAAAAGCTACCCAGATGAGGTCCAAGATGGTAGCGGCTCCCGCTTCCTTTTTTCAAGCCTTTTCAAATGGTTTAGAAATGGCAGGAGACCGAAAGATCAACACTGCAGACAAGCAAGCGAAGAGACTACAAGCAGTACATGCATCAATCACAAGGACAGCCGAGAAAAAGCGAACCCATTGAAGATTGAGGGTGGAAGAAGAAAAGGAATCAAGATTCAAGAAGAGAGACGAACCCAGAAGCATGAGCAACAGCGAAGTGGCGAAGATGAGCCTGAACCCTCTCCCCATTTGCTCCCTCTCTCTCTCTCTCTCTCTCTCTCTCTCTCTCTCTACCTCTCTGCGTCTCCGAGAGAATTCTGGACAAGCCTTTCGCTTTATTCCCGAGAGACCCACTTCAGCTAAATGCCGTTCCAACGTTCCCCTCCTTGAGAACCGCGTCTCTCTCTCTCTCTCTCTCTCTCTCTGTGCGGAAAACAAAAGCTTTTTGCTGTTTAAGATGCAGAGCTCGAGAAGGGGTCAAGGGTCTTGACTCAAACACTGTACTGAGCAAAGAGATATGATGGACGTGGTGATGGGCGTGGTGAGCCCGGCGTAGCGTAAGTCTTGTGGTCACTTGCTCGCGTCTGATCGTGGTGTGGTGGTAGTTTCTGTAAATATGCGGATGCGGATGCGGATGCGGATGTGTCAGAGAGTTTTGCAGACGGGGAGGGAGACACCGGTGGCGAGCGTGTATTGGGGGACCGGACGTACGGGGAAGGCTGAGAGAGGAGGGACCGGACTTCAGATGGTTTTCTCAATTGGATTTGAATCGGGTGCGCCTCGGGTACGCCCCCTGGCTTTGTGGCATGTCTGTCCTTTCTCGCTCGTGTTGCGTGGGATTTGGGAATTGAAAAAAACGAAAAAAATTAGCGCAAATGGGAACCTCGTATTAAGGTTTAGGATCCGTTTATTAACATTTTTAATAATTCCTTTTCAAAAATAAATTTTTATTTCTATGCTCTTAACACGTTTTTTAGCAAAAGAACACGCTTATTAATTATACAAAATTTCTATTCTCGAAATCAGAAAAAGAGCAAAAAAGGATTTGGTACGACCCTATAAATTTTTTTCACTTGAAATTTATTTTGATTTTTTAAAATAATTTCTGAGATTTTTTTGAATTTTTTTTTCCTCCATTCTTCTTTCTCCTCTAGCAGGTTGCCAGGCCTTGGCGATGGGCGGCAACCGGCCAAGGACAAGGGCCGGCCTCAAGCAAGCTTCACTGGCGGCTGGGAGAGGTCGACCTCGCCGACCATCGCCAAGGCCCGACATCCTACTAGAGGACAAAGAAGAAGGGAGGAAAAAAAAATGACATTGTTTCAAAAATTGTTCCTGAGAGCAAAGACATAGATTTTTTTTACTTTTTGATTATGTTCCAAATATATTCCCTGAACCCTAAAACCCTAAATCCTAAATCTCAATACCTCAACCCTAAACCTAAAACCTTAAAACCCTACCCCTAGACCCCAAAACCTAAACCCTAAAACCTAAAACCTGAAACATTAAACCCCAAACCCTAAAACCTTAAACTGCAAAACCCTAAACCCCAAACCTCCAAACCCTAAACCCAAAACACTAAACCCTTAAACTCTAAACCCTATAGCCATGCCCAAAAACCCAAAACCCGAATCCCTAAAACCCTAAACCCAAAACTCAAAACCCGAAACACTAAACCCGAAACCCTAAAACAAAAATCCTAAAACCATAAACCCCAAACCCCAAATCCTAAAACCCCAAAACTCCAAACCCGAAATCCCAAAACTCTAAACCCCTAAACTGTAATTTCCTCAACCACCATCCGGTATTTGCTTTGTTTATAAGGAGTAATTTTCTTTATGATTGTATTAAGGTCATCCAATTCTATATCATAATATATTATGACTCTATTTCTAGTCCGATTTTATCCAAACATGAAAAATTGTTGAGTCTCTATTCACATTTTATAATTAAATGAAAAAATTGAGAGTAAAAATTTTTAAGGTTGTACCGAATGCATTTCTGTTCTTTTTCTATTCCGGAAATGAAAATTTTGTGCAGTTACCAAACGCGTTTTTTAGCTCAGAAACTGTTTCCGGGAACATAATTAGAAAAAACTATTTCTGAACAGAAATTGTTCCCAGGAACATAAACGTTACCAAACAGACCCTTATCAACTAAGATTACTAAACGGATTCCTGTTATTTTTCCGTTCTAGGGAATAAAAGAACAGAAAAATAGAAAAACAGGATGGTTATCAAATAGGACTTTAATGCGCAATGTCATCTCTAAATTTTTAACTTGTTCAATATAATCCATAAAGTATTAGTATATGTTCCAATTTAGTTCTCAAATTGTATGAAAATGTTCAATATCTGACGGAATCTGCCCATGCGGCTTTCAACCTGTTGACCTTGAATGGTGGACAACAAAAACAAATACTTACGCGTGGATTATTCAAGTAAGATATTGTCTCAAATCAATATATATATAAAATAATCCGTGTCATCAAATATCGATGGACATCTTAACGTCCTAATTCTTTTTTCCTTTTTTAACATAGATGGATAAAAAGATGAACATGTTAACTGATTTTGTTTTTGAAATCCATCCCGGTGTATAATGATCCATGTCATAAAAAAACGTCTGATTTGTCGCTTGAGCAAACGAAAGGATAACATCAAACATCTACGTACAGTTTATGGACCATAGTGAATAAATTAAATATTCGGGGACGACATTACACATCGCACTAGAGTTCTGGAACCATTTGTGTCGTTTTCCCTTTGAGAAACAGTGTCTCCAGTCAAACATACGGGTCTGGTCGAATTGGATCTGGAAATTAATCCTAACCCGTGTTGAACAATTGACTCCGTGCAAATCAAAATCCCAAAATGGGATATCCCGATCAACCGCATAAAGAAGCAATCATAGGATAAAATAATTGAAAAAACAGAAGCACTAATTTCATATACAAAATTAATAAGGAGTCTAGAGGGAAAAATGAAAGAGAGCCAAATCTCAAAAAGAAAAAGTTGACCCAAAAACACGAGATCTCAAATTTTTTTCAAACTTATCAAACCGACATAATAGAGAGGTCGCACCATACATTCTTGCGTCAGTACGGGCTGCATTGCATCTGCACTTACCTTTCAGTCCAAAAGGGCAACAACCGATATGCTTTTTACCTTTGTCCGTTGTTTTGTCGCTTTATTCCTCCCTTACCTCATCCTCAACACTCCACACGCATTAGACTATTCATAAAGAAATTTTCATGTGTTAGGCCCCTTCAAGTACCATCTTCATTTTCCAAAAAGCAAAAACAGTACCAATCTCCAACGGTCGTGATTGGTCTCGAATCGATAGATAATCCAATTGCCTCGTCGGTTGTTTTGAAAATCTTTGTCCGCATATGAAGTGGTCGGGACAAAGATACCAAATTAAACCTCTAAACTTATTATACGAAAACCGATTTAGTCCTGAACTTTTTCCGTAAATTTCCAATGTGGGTTCTCTAAGCAATTACACCTAAGCATGCCGATGTGGCGGTCTAATCATCGTCGACCATTCTACATGACACATGACACGATTGATATTTGACGTGGATGAATTATCACGAATTGACGTCGTTTTAAGATTTTTCTGAATTTTTATTTTATTTTTCTTTTATCCCTTTCTTCTCTTTTATCGTTTTCTGCGCAACTTTCATCTTTTTCCTTATAGTCTTCACACTGCCCCGTGCGCCGCGGTGAACTTCCTATCGCTCTACACCGGTGAGAAGGGCGTCGACTGCAACAGGAAGCCGCTCCATTTCAAGGGGTCGATGTTCCACCGCATGATCCCGAAAATCATGTGCCAAGGCAGCAACTTCACCGCTGGCAAGGGAACGGCGGGGAGCCGATCCATAGGTCCGAGTTTAAGGATGAGAACATCACGAGGAAACACACGGTGCCGGGTACGAACGGATGGCAGTTCTTCATATGCACGAAGAAGACGAGCCGGGGTTCGACGGCAAGCACGTGGTGGAGGGGGGTAGACATGGTTAGGGTCCATCGAGAAGACCGAGTCCGGCTCTGCTAGAACCTCCAAGCCCATCGACCGCATATGTGAGGCAGGCAACCTCAAGTGAGGTGTGGCGCCTCAATCACAGGAAGCGAGCTTCATTAATGGAGGTCGGCCACACGGTGAGAGGGGCAGAGAGAGAGAGAGAGATAAAGAAACGCAATGGCGGTGGCCGAGTTTGATTTTGATGGTAGCGGTCGAGTCGTCGGTGATGGCAGTGACGAGTTTTCGGTGGCAGTGACCGGAAAATTTGCAGCGGCAGCCGCGATAAGGAAGGAGATGAACAATAGCTTGGAAAAAAAAGAGGAGAGAAAGGAAAGGAAAGGAAAAATGAATTCAAAATGGTATGCAGAACCACCTTCAATGCAGTTCTTCCTCGTTAGATGCCTAATTGCACCATGTAGGATGGCTGACGATGATTGTCGTACCACTTCAACATTTTTAGGCGCAAATTAGCCGGAAGAACCGCATAATTTGACATAAAAGTTCGGGATTAAATTGATAACCGTACAATAGACTTGAGATTGATGGTAATGTGTCCGCTCATGCTCTCATGCGTGACTCCTAGTTTGCACACTAAGAGAAATGACAAGGCAAGTCGAAACTTTTTCCGGTTCGGAGTCGAGCCGCTCGAGCATATCAAGTCCTCCATCCCAACCGATCAAGTCGAGCAGTAAAGATCAACCTAAATCGCGCACGGCTTCGATGATCAAGCTTCGTTCTAGTTCGAGCTCGAGTAAGGAACGGTGTCGGCTCGACTCGGGTCGATCAACCCGACCCGACCCAAACTTAGGATCCCGGACCGCATGTGTGAAGGGCCAATATGGGTCCAGACATCTGTTCATCATATAGCACAGATTGAATGCAGATAAGGCCCAAAATGAAGCCCGGGATTCACTCAAGACTTGCCCAAGCCCAGTCCGCTCGATGAATGTGTCCGATCCCATTCGGTGCACTTCGAGCTGCAAATCAGATTGCAGTTGGAGGTGGGGGGATGCAACACATTCTCTAAGTTTGAAACCCATCAAAACTCAACACAATTATAAACCAAATCTTCAAATTTGTACTAGGCCAAGGCTATTAAACTCGAAGCTAGGCCCCGACTCGGCCGGGCTAGACGACCGGAGCTATAATTTCACTTGTCTAACACGTCCATTAATCACGTCTACCTCTATATAAATTGACATAAAAGAAAAAATTTCTTTACGAAAAAAAAAAAGAGGGCTGAAAAAATAGGTTTCGCCCTCGTATTTTGATAATAGGTATTCTCTCGTGAGTGGGCTTTCCCACATCATCTTAACTCCATTGTTTTTTTCCCAAAGAAATTGCATCCCCACCTCATCCCAAACAAGTAAAACGATATAAAAGGGTCGAATATAGGTTTCGCCGTTGTATTTTGATAAGAGGAATTCTTGCGAACGGGCTTTCATATGATCTCACTTGCCTAAACCTGCCCATTGATCGCATCTACTTTTATGTAAAT